AAAAAAAAAAAAAAAAAAAAAAAAAAAAAAAAAAAAAAAAAAAAAAAAAAAAAAAAAAAAAAAAAAAAAAAGAGAAAGAATTTTTGAGGCGCGCTTTTCCAGATGCGGGTGACAATAAGTTGGTAAATTCCCCATTGTTTCTTCAACGAAAATCTCCAATTTACATTACTTTTTATGATGTGTTCACGCTTGATAAATGTCTTGAGAAAAAAACTTTTCTCGTTCCTCCCCACACATTCGGCGATCAACACATAATGAATAAACTTATGATTCGTCAGAGTAGGCTTATGACCCATATGGGTTGAGGACCGGGTGGATTCTAAACTTACAAATAAATACATAAATAGGCTTTTAGGTTTGCGCGTGAACCCAAAGATTAACTGGCGATTTATCCGAGACACATCAACCAACAAGCTATGATCATATGCAATATAGATCTCAGAATGTAAACACACATGACACAAGCAGAATTACGCACATTGGTATCCACACGCATAGTATACGAAGATCAAAATTAGTACCCTTGTAAGCTATCCCTGTAGTACACACGAAGCATGTCATGTCTAAATAATTTGAAGATCATGGAAATCGAACTTTTTCCACGAATAAACAATAAATATTATTCTGAAAAATATGAACTATAACCAAATGCAATCAACCTTTTCCGATTTCCCTTTTCACGCGAATCGTTAACGAAAGATCAAACCTCCGATGCTAATGATGAGTTCAACCTCTGAATTGAAATCAACCATACCCAAAATGAGATTCCACTTGGCACAAAGAATCAAAGTCAACCCGGGCGGAAACTGCAGACCATGAATGATTCCACGAATCACAAGATACATAACAATCTGACCCCAATCAATTGTCATACTCGGGCGAAATTTGTGTAGGCATCGAGAACGCCAGGACACCGACGTTTTTGTTCGATTCTGAAAGATACATGTATGCCAAACCACATCTGGCTGCATATACCTATGGCAGGTATATTATGTAATAAGACAATAGATGCTATCTGAACTTATTGTTGCATTAAATAAAAGCTTTTTGGTTTTTTTTTTTTTTTCTGTTCAATTTGACTGCCATTTCTTTTTTTTATCCTATTGTAAACTGTTGTGTGATTGTTCACTTACCCGTACGCATAGGTGCATAGGTGCATAGGTTGAACGATACATAATTGATCACTGTCATAAAATAATGCCCGGATTTTTTTTTTTTTTTTTTTTTTTTTTTTTTTTTTTTATGCGCCTTCAAGCAGTTAAATGCAATCCGGTTATGCGTAAATGCAGAATCCTATTGTAACAAAATTCTTCATTGTCTGTCTACTATACAGTACATGTCGGATTTTTTTTTTTTTCTTTTTTTTTTTTTTCTTCGACACGAAATATATACTGTATATACATTACGGTTCAACGGCCTTAGTTCGTCGGGACACAATGATTGTATTTCACAACGCACATTCGCGTCCATTTTAAAATTCATACAATGACATCTTTAAAAACGTCTTCGATCTACCACATACATACGCGCGCATCTTATGCCACTCCGCCTTACCACTAGTTTACATCTTTTTGCCTGTACATAATTCATCAGGTTTGGAAGACGTACGCATGACTTCAAGTCTTTACATTGGTGCTGCCTCATGCATATTCTCCAAGCGTTCCTTTATACCAATCATTACATTAATTGTATACTAGTCATGCAGTCTCCTGTTTAGCCCTTTGTTGTTGTAAAAAGAAAGCGTTCGCCTCTTTCTTTGCAAAACCGAAAAGGGAAAGGAGAACAATCGTCGCCGTGAAAACAATGGATCACGATCTACTGCAAAAAAAGCCACGGATTTCTCTCCCGAAAGGATAAAAACGAGCGATTTTTTCGTTTCTCCTCTTCCTTTCTTCAACTTATCGATCTAACGAATTCTTGCTCACACATACACGCACACGAGAATTCTCATACACCATCATTTTCCCTTCCTCCTTTCTTCACGCGGATTCTTCTACGAACTCATTAACTCCGTCGCCCCTTTCGAGCACAATCCTCGCATCTCATTGCTACCTTTTTTTTTTTGCTCCAATTCATCATCATCAAATGGGTTCTACGAAGTCTCTGCAGTATGAAGTTCTCGTGTATCCACCTCCAGAGGAACAATCGGCTAATTCAGTTCCTCAACGGCCCTTAATGCAAACTCAATTCCGGAGGTTTCCGTGTGACAGGGAAAATATGCAGCAATACTGGATCCCCGAGGGATTTCGCCCTGTTCTGGTTCACCGCCACCTGTTAATGTCCAGTTTAGCTGTTACTAATGATTTTAATGATTCTCGGAAAATGACGTCTAATGCTTCTCCGCTGAGGCAAAGGAATTCTTCAATTACACTCGACACATCAACTGGCGGTAATTTAACGCACCGATCAAAACGCCGTCGTATCTTCGGTTCTTCGAAACACCCAGAAATATCACTAGTGACGTTCAAAGCCACTGCTCTATATTACAAGACGAAATGCAAAGAATTGATGAACAATGGTACAATTGCAAACCCTCCAATTGATCCTCCTTCGAAGATCATTGGGAAAATGTGGAGCGAAGAACCGGAACACGTGAAAAAACATTACGAAAGACTTGCTCGCAAAACAACGAAACATCGATCGGTCTGTCCCTCATCAAAAACGACAACGAACCAACCGCCACAGAAATTATTAAGTCATGACGAACCCTTTGAAGTACCTGTCGCCTTGTCTACAACGATTCGCAATCGTAAAGTTCTTCAAACTTCCTCTGAGGACTTTACCCGATGTCACCCGTCCGAGCTCATCAAACGTTAAGAACCTCGAACGTCGGTCGTGATCCGTGTGTCGGGAACTCGTTTTTACTTCGCCGATTTCCTCGCCACTTTCCTCGCCGAAACCCGAACGACCGGTGACATTAATGACGTTCCCGTAAATCGTAATCACACGGATCGTGCATTTTTGAAATCGATCAACGACGAAAAATCTCGTTCCTATTTTCGAATTAATTTTCCGTATATTCTCTTTATACATAAACTCCACTTTTTACTTACCGTTTTTTATTTTCGCATATTGTACATATTATTATTAAAATTACGAAGAAAAAACAAAAAAAAAATTTTTTTTTTTTTAAACAAAAACCATGACAAAATCACCCCGTGGGAGGGGGGAAAAGAAAAAAATAAAAGAGAAGATGGGAGAGTAAATATCTTTATATATATAAAAATGTATCCATCCATAAAAAATTAAACCACGAATTTTTCTTTTTTTTTTTTCTAAAAACTTATATAAATACTTATATATATTTCCTTTTTTTTTTTTCATTTCACTTTTTTTTATATTTGTACCATATTTTTCCAAAAAGTCTTGTTCCAAATATTCTTTCAAGTTTATTTTCTCTGAATTTGTTCTTATTTTTTTTTTTCTTAAAAAAAAAAAAAAACAAAAAAAAAAAAAAAATGAATAAAAAAAATCAGAAAATTCACTAAGTCAAAAAAAAATTTTTTTTTTTTTGAGTGCCAAGCGATGGTGAGAATGAATGCGACACGCATGGGGACAAGTTATAAGACGCGAGGAGATGACCGGAGTACGTACTGTACGTGGAAGGGAAATTGTTGCATAACTAATGATCTTTAATCTTTGATTGTTAAAATACGTACTGTACAGCATACCACAACCATCATTCGTGTTGACATGCATAGAAGTAAAAATTTGCAGTCGTCGTTTCTCACAATGATAATAATCCGTGAATTCGTAACACAAATGCACACGAACAAACATAAACAAATATTTATGCGGACACCGAATTTCCATTCTATCGAATGATACCATCCAACTTGAACGCGGACTTCGCGTCCTCCTTTTTCCTCCTGGCCGGAGTGTTGAACACCTTCCAGAATCTCAAAGTGCTATCGTCGCTGCCAGCACCGGTTACAATATCCTCTCCATTCGGGGACAAGGCGAAATAAAGCACGCGAAATGTGTGCCCCTTCAAAATGGCAAGCTTCTCCATTGACGGATACTGCCAGACAACTATGTCGTTCTTCCACCATCCATGCGTGGAAACAATTTCGTTAGCGTTTGGTGACCACTGCAAATTGCACACCTTTGGAGGGTGATTAGTGCTGACGATCGGACGACGAATTATACCAAAGGTGAATAATAAATAGGTACCTGAGATTTAACGTTATAGCTCGTCAAACACCTTGCGTCTAAAGTATTCCAGAAACGAATTTGACGGTCGCGATGACCACCTCCGCTAACCAACAGATTTCGGACATGAGGGCTCCAGGAGAGAGCACGCACGGCGGCTCTGTGTCCATCAAGTTTACGAGTTGGGTAGCAACTATTACCCTCCCATATGAATAGTTCGTTGGAATTGCCTCCACTTGCCAACTGATCTCCCTCGTGATTCCATTTCAGTCCGCATATCTTATGATAACGGAAAAAATTTTTTGCGTTCTTGAAAAAGCAAGGATTTTATTAATGGAATCATTGCGGGACATTTGTATTTACCTCGGATTTATGTCCCGTTAGAACACGAAAAATGTCGTGAGGGCTCCTTGGATCTCGGTGGAAGATACAACGATCGGCGCTACCTGTGGACAAGAGTTTGCCGTTCCACGCGGTGGTTCCTTGGCAGAGGATGTTTTTATTTTTCAAATGCATGAAACGACACGAGAAAAGCAACATATCACTTATTTTCATTACCAACTCGCGACTGATGACTACCCATATCACGAATTTTCATAAGTTTGCGCGCGTCCCAAAGTTGCACTTTCCCTTCGGCAGTGCTAACGACAAGTTGAGATTCCTGTTGTGACGGAAACATTATGGTGGGGGGGGCGCGAGACAAGCGTGAAATACTATGTGAAACGAATGAAACGAATGGTATCTTTGGAACCTCATACCGCATACCTGAGGAAGCCACTTGATGGATGATATCGAGTAGAACCCACCCAGATCGCACAATTTCGTCATCTAGAATGAATGATACAGGATTATTCATCCGAAGATTTCAAGTGTGAAACACGAACATCTAGGTAATCCATCACGGACCTTTGACGTCTCCATGTTCCACAAATAAACGCAATTCTCGAGGCCCAAGCTCAGTATGTTGGAACAAGACCAGTCAACCACGTTCAAATAGAAGTCATCCTAAAGTCATCGCAATGTGTGAGGTGCATTGAAAAATAGTTACGCTTAAGTATCTTATGACGAGAGCATTTGCCTTGAGCTTTAATTCGTGACAAAATGCAAGCATTTGAAATGGCGCAGTGTCGATGATCCTTTCGGAATCGCGAGGCATCGTCATTAGATCTTCAACTTCGCGGGAGAAAGGGGTAGTGGAGTATGCCTCTCGGAAGGGTGTGTCGAAAACTCGAGGGCGCTTCGGTAATGGGGATCGAAACCTGAGGAATTTTGGTGACGAGGACGATGGCGGATCAATACACTCGTTAGACTTCCGAGGGAACATTGCCTTTTGGATTATGGATTTACGGATACAGTTCTCCTCTGGTAATGATAACAACAATAACAATCATTTGGATTTTCGAGAACCCTTTCATGCGCATGAGATGAATGCGCGCTTACTTTTCTTCCTTTCATTTTCTAGGACCTCTCTTTTCCGTTTTGACGGATTTAGTTCTTCAGGCGTCATTGAAGGACGTCTTTGGAATTCAGATGCCATCCCACTGGATCTAGCCGGAATAAATCTGCAATCAGACGTTGCAGATTAAGGATATTGAACACGCCGCGGGTTTTAACATCACGACGTATGGATTAGTGTAACACCTATCGCTGTAAACGCGCGTCGTCACGTTTGCCACATCCCCACTCTTGCTTTTCGGCTCTGTGTCGGATGAACGACTGTTGGGGACGAAAGGAGAATTAAATTCTTCCGAATATGAGGATGAAAAAGATGACGATCTAGAATCTTGGAAGGAACTGCTAGCGATTGAAGAGAAGGAGGAAAGGGAAGTTGAAACGAGATCCAATGATGGTGCACTCTCACGGTAAGACATGGTTCTTAGATATTGGGAATCACGAGAGTAATAATGGAAAAATGTGGTGCGAATAAAAAAAGGGATGGAGTGTTCATATATGCAGCATATTTATATCTGTGAACTGATATAAAATCCAGCACTTTATTTCTATTCAATTTTTTGATATCGTAGGTTCTTTGAGTCTAATTTTTGTGTCCACTTGCGAATATCATATCATCAAAGTCTATCCGACACTCTAATTCCACTTAAACTTTTCGACATAACAGTTTATTCGAGTTTATTCATCTTGAGAATCATCAATAACCTTTCGACTATTATATTTAAACTTGAAAAAAAAAGCTTTAAATTGTGGTGATTTTGACTTTTTTACGGAATATAAATTAAATTGATTATACGGTATATCAGGTTTCAAAAAAAAAGTTAGAATGCGGCAGCAAAATTGAATTTATATTAACGGGATAGATGTGCTCTCGTATACATAGAGTTCCAAGTGTTCGACCAAATGCATTACAATATTGTGAATAGGTGACATAGTGAAACTATCAATTCTTGGGTTAAAATCAAGATACAGTAAATAAATACAACATCATTGATTTTAATGCCCCACTATTCTAAATCGAAACACCTCACAATTTGTAAATAAATGTAGGATTCCGATCTCCCATGTCCATAATCTCTCTATCACTCTTTCCTTCCAGAAACTTTGTCGGATCTTCGATCTTTAGCCTATTTTCCCTTTTCAGCAGAACATAGAATATCACCGACAGCAATAGCGATAATGATAAACAAGATGCGGTTATTATATGACCGACCCGGTAGTCCGGATAGTCTTTAGGTTGATACACTTGAGCGGCTATTATACCACCGATATTACCAACCGCAATCATCACTGCGCTACCGGTCGCGCGCTTCACGTCTCCCGCGAGATTATTGTTCAACCTTTTTTTTTTTTTAATGGTGACATGCCAGAGAGAGGAGGGATTATTAATATTGATGGATGAAAACAGGAGATTAGGGTAAACGTTACCATGTGATAATCGTGGGGATGCAGGGAAACATTCCGGCACCTACGATGCAGGCACCAGCATATTGAACTAGAGATTTTGATAATTTGGTTCGAATCATGATCGGGAAAAAGAGAAATGGACATCCAGAGTATACAGTATATGTGTCCTTACCGGCAGTGGGAAATTTGGGAATAATAAGCAAGATATATCCCAAGATCGAAAGGAGCAAAAAACCGAAAAGGAAAGGTCCTCGTATGGATAAGCGATCGGATAATATGGTCACGATGATGGTGATCAAGCAGCCAAATAAAAATGGTGGTGCCGCGAGTAGTTGAGAGATCACTTGAGTGGTAAAACATAGGATGAATGAAAAAAAAATTGTAAATAAAGAGAGAGAGATACGTTTCGGGGAGGATGTGAATAATTGGTTACCATCATTGAATCCCATTCCATAGACAATTGCGGGAATGAAGAATGAAAAGGAAAACATGGGTATAGTGATTCCGATGTATATAAATGATGCAATCCATACTTTCTAACGTAAAAGACGAAAAATTTGTTCGTCAAAGGGGTATATGCAAAATTCGTTCTACATGCGAGGCGTTAAATTACATCTACCCAATCTTTGATAGCGTTCACTACGTATTTCTTGTCAAAATGAGTAGCATAGGCATCTCCCGCGTCGCGCCTTAGCCTCTCGATGGTCATAGATCGTTCTTCTTCAGTTAACCATTTAGCTGTTGCCGGATAATCAGTGATGAAAAAAAATGCCATGAAGGCGATTACAATTGTTATAAGTCCATCAATTATGAAAATCTATTATATACAGTATACACGGTATATAGAAGAAAGAAAGAAAGAAAGATGGATTTTTAGAATCAAAATGTTTCGTTGGCTTATTCTCATGATACGAGCAGCTAAAAATCAATTTCACACGCTACCCATTGCCATCCGCTAAGTCCGTACATATCATCCAGATCCATTATAATAAAATATGAGATGAGACCACTAAACGCTCCGGCAAAGGCAGAACCGGAAACTATCAAGCCAACTCTATAGTTTTGTTCGGAACGCATGTACCACATGGTGATGAAAAACACTATTCCAGGAAATAGACCCGCTTCGAATGCACCCAAGAAGAAACGAGCGACTATCAACCCTTCATAATTATGCACCTTTGTGGAGAAAATGAGGATGAGGAGAAATTCAATGATTACGAAAATCCTTCGTCAACTCACAGTAGCCGACAATAACATCACAGTGCCCCATCCTATCATAATTGTAGGAACTAGAAATTTGATATAGAAAAAAAAAAAAAAAAATTAAAACCAAGTGATGGGGTTGGTGAATTCATCGAGTTCATGGAAATTTGGTAACTTACTCCATATCGAAGGTCTTGTCTTCACTAGCATTATGTTGGACGGCACTTCGAATAATACGTATCCACTTCGAAAAAAAAAAAAAAAAAAAAAAAAATTTCTTCTCAGGTTCATTCATAAATGCTCGTTCACTAAGCTAGATAACTTCAGAGTGTATATAAAAACCACATACATGAAGAATACACCTATAACCCAATTATACTGATCTCCTGTTAATCCTAGATCGATTTCAATACCTGCTAGCTTCGCATTCCCGATATTGACTCTTTGAAAGTAATTCTCGTCACAATTTGAAAATATGAATTCTGGTCATTTAAAAATGTGAACTTCCTACATACCTATCTAGGAAACTGAAGATATAAAGAATCGTCACCAGAGGAATAAGTCTAAGATCCATTTTTCTTAACATTCTCTTTTCCTCATCCGGACCACCTCCTCGGTCCACCCATTTTCCTTTCTCTCTGACAGACATTGTTTTTTTTTTTTTTTTTTTTTTTTTTTTTACAAGAGAATTTATTTCGAACGAAGAATTACAGACACTTTGAGAGATGCCAAAATGATGGATGTTTTTTTTATCTGGTTTATTACTATGGAATATTGTCAGATGTTGCTCGCTAATTTATATATTTTTATGGGGGATTAAATTAATTATAAGGGTCGGTTGGATGTCTTTTGGTCAAATAAGATTAATAAATAGAAGAATTTACGACCTATAGTTAAAACCAAAACACTATCCCGCTTCGTTTCATGTTCAACCATCAGAAGATTTACTATAATCACTTTCTGTTTCTTCGATAGTTTTTATTTTTTCGAACTTGTGTTAAAAATATAGTTCACCAAAAGATTCTCTTTTTCTTATGAAATACATAAGCGAACCAACACAACAGAAATAAAATGAGGCTTTCTTTCTCTTCTTCTTCTTTTTTTTTTTTGTTCCGGAACCGATACCGAGAAATACAAGTTTGAGAAGCGCAAATCGGCCTCATCAAAATTCTAAAACCAGTTCCCCTTCAAATCAAAAGCCTTTGTCCAATTCTTCACATCCCCTCCTCGAAAAAGTAAGTCAGAGTTGTAATTCGAATACATCCTGTCACAATTGCCCGCATGCAAGCCACCAAATATTGACATGTACGAACACGAATACATAAAAAGGCTTGACATAGAAAGATTTTTAGTAATGACAGGTGGCGTTCTTAGATAATATTAGTGATAGTCTTTTTTGTCACGTATTTGATAAACCCTCAACCTGTTCATTGTAAAGGCGAATTCTTACGTACGTGATTTGCTGTCATGCCTACACCGCCACCCAACAACATCAACCAGATAATAAACGTGTTCGCACGTCTAGTTAAAATCGCATACAGTATCTTGTAGGATAATCTGCTCAACATAGCGCGAAACAATAGACCCGTTTGGATATTATCATGCGGATGGTTAAAACTTATTTTAAGGGCTTTATGTTTAGTATAAGCAACACTCAAAACCCAAACAGATTATTCTTGAGACCCGAGATGTTATCCGAGCATTTTCTGAGGTCAATTATTAAGCATCTATTAAAAAATTATTAATCATACTAAAGAAAAGACGAATATACTGTACCAAACCGACATATTAACCACTCAATTTATTACGATACACGATACTTGTTGTGGTGATTCTTATACTGTACACAGTATTTTGTCGTGGATTTTTAAATCTACCTGATATCAACAAGAGGATTTTTTTTTTTCAAACATATAATATTTCCAATCATTCTTAGGCAGTATAATTACGAAATAGAACTTGACTTTTCACTATAGATTTCCTAACTACTTTTTCCTTAAATAATACTTTATTGAAAGATTGAATGATTTTAGTTTGTTAATATGAAAAAGGGAATTCTTAGAACAAAAAAAAAGTTTTTTTTTGGTTTTATACTTTCAAAAAGAATTCTTACTATTGGTTATAGATTGCTACAATATCAATTTTTTTTATCGAATTTTAAATTTAAGAAAATAAAATCTCAGGCATTTTTAAATTTTTAATTCTTTTAATTTCATTTCTCGGAAACTTTATTATAGTCAAGATGAGTCCTAGGGATAACCGGGATGAGTAATTACCCATACTGTCTCATCCAACCAGGATGGGATAACTATATGACCATCTAGTGTAGGATTGTTTCTTAATTCTAATTAAGCTAAGGATCGGGGAAAGTCTTTATACATTCAATCTAATGAAGTAATCTCACTATATTAATATCTCTATTACTCAAAACAGTACTTTCTAGAATTGTAATCTATCAAATGACTTGTTACTATCTCTTATTTTTAGGAAAACCAATGTGTCAAGAATTCATCTAAGATACCCAGCATCACCGATGTTGAGAGTCTCTTATATGAAATCTTCTGTTGGCTCCATTAGTACTTCAAGATTTTTCTGGGAATCTTATTATATACTGTATCTGATATCTGTCTTATTACTTGATTGGAGGTCAATTTTATATGAAAAACATTAATCACTCAATTGTTAGCCTTGATTATTGAAGTCTGTTTTTATGTCTTTAGCATCACACTGAATTAAATTTCTTTGTCTAGTTATGGACCTGTCTAGTAATTTCTATGAGTGATCAGATCCTTCTTTTTTTATTTTAGGGTAATCAGTTTGTATTTGAAATCTTATATCACTTATTTTAATCACATTTGTGAAACCTTGTGTTGTATCTTATCTTGTTATAGCTGTTATAAGTAAATAGGGTCCTTCTTCACTTCTTGTTAGGGTGCCTGGAACTTATTGTATATAGAGAACTTGTGTTACTTATATTAGCCTCATATAAAACCTTGTATTAATTTGGTCATTCCTATTATAAACATAATGAGTGAATGGATTCTCCTTATTGTTTTGTTGAGATACTTGATTATCATCATAGGAAAAATAAGATCTTTGTATTACTTTGTGGTTTAATTTTCATTGATCCTTATATGATATCAAACTTTAGATTTTGTGATTATGATCTGGAAATACTTTATTGTACTATAGATTCACAAGTCAAATTTTATTATATATTATATCAATTGAATTTTTAAATTAATTCATTTATAAATTCAATTAATTGTTTAATAAAAATAAAATAAATTATAATATATATTATTTAAATACTCTAAATTGATTAATATAAAAATTAATAAAAATTTTTTTTAGTTATAAGGTAATAAAATTTTTTGAATTAAAATAATAATTATTTAAGAATAAAAATTAACTATCAAATAATATTTCATTATTGATTTAAGTTTAGATTGAATTATATTATTTTAACAAAATAAGTAATAGTAGTTTAAAAAAATCTAAAAAATTTATATCTTATTTTATTTTGCTATTTTTTTTTATATTATATTTATTTTAAATAATAAAAAATTTTAATAATAATATAAATATTCTTTAATCTACAATCATGTTATTATAGCATATCATTTATTATAATGTACTGAATAGTAATAATTGATATACTGTAACTTTTATATATTA